CTTGCCGGCTCTCCATTTTGCTCCTGTTGCTCCTCAAATTTGATGTGCTGCTTCTCGTCTGCAAGTGAGGCGGCTCTATGACCATGGCGCGCGGGGTCGAAAAACAAAAGGGCGTCGCGAATGCTCTGGATGGACCCAGTGAAGTTTTGGGGTTCGCCGGTGTGGCGGAAATGGGTATGTAGTGCTCGCGCAAGCGATAGGATAGAGACATGACGGTCCACATGCCCAGGAGGACGAAGGAAGAGCGCTGTGCGGTGGAGGGACAAAGCTTCCTGCACGTCAGCCAGCTGATTGGTGAGTTCGAATCGACGGAGGAGCGACTCGGCAAGGGTGTGTAGTAGTGCAGCGCCGGGCCCATCCGTCGGAGGGGAGATAGAAATGGCCTCGCGTGCTGCGGAGATGGCATCGTCTAGATCTTGCTGGTCATGCGTACAAGCTGAGCGCACGAGCAGCTTGGACGAGAGAGAGGTCAGGTGCGCCACCCGATCGACGCCGACGGTGGTCTCATCGGAGAGGGTTTCGCGCGCCGCGCTGATAGTCCTGTCGTCGTCCACACTAAGAGAGCCATTTCGGAGGCCTTCCCGCAACATGGTCACTTGGTGTAGATAGTCTGTTGCACCTGATCAGCACGTTGAGCTGGCCACGATAATAGTGAGCAGCAACCTGAATGTTCTGGGGCATGCACTTTGAGTCAGCTGTGGGTACAACAATGAGCTCTGGAGCAGTCATCGGCTTCTATATGCCAACGCACCGCATATATCCCCAGTAGATGGCGCACTGGCTCTCAGATCGGAGTTCCGCGGTCAATGCAACTTTCAGCGCATAAGACTTACTTCGTTGGTTGTGTTGAATCTCGAGTGCGACGCAGGCAAACTGGTGAGGCTAGGTGAGGTACAAAGCGAGGATACTGGCAGCGGGCTGTGCGTTCGCAGTCTTTTTCCTCGTGTAAAGTTGCTACGCGCAGTGACACGAGTCCTTCCCGACAACTGCAGACGGCTTGTGCATGTCCCGAGTATTAAACCTTGTGTTACGGCGTAGGGGAGGCACAGCCGCTGCCGACAACTTGGCCGGAACGTGCAAGAGCAACGTTTGCAGAGTGGAGTTGCATGAAGTCCGAGTCGTAGCTGTGGACATCATAAGAACGTTGTCGCGAGCGTGCAAAAGCGGGTAACTTCACTATCACTCAAAATCTGGGTGAGCATGAGGGAGCCAGAAACGTACCAGACAGCGCAGTATATAGCCTATGGCTAGATCTGTTTCCTCTTAGAATGACCTAAATGCTTGACGAGGTTTCTCGACGACTCCCCGACAAGTTTACGCCCAGGCAACGGGCGCTCCTTACGTAAGCCGACGGCGCCTGCCTCAACGGCGGGATACACCCCATTTCAAGGACCTGCCCTGTAGGATGCGTCAGGAGACATCCAGGCTACGGTAGGGCCATTCCTAGGCGACATGGCGCGGCAAATCTGACGAGACAAGTTCTACATCGAACGCTTTGACTGACATTGCAACTCAGACTGTGTCCACGGCCTCAAAGCCTCAAACCGAGGCATAATGTACTTCCAACATCGTTGACGACAATCGAGGGCCGTCAAGTGAGGCTATGCTTACAGGAGTCTGAGCATTCTGCACACGCGTATATACGAAGTGAAGGCAAATGATGTCTATTGCATCCTGAGTTCCGAGTCACTCACCCAATGGGACCCACCACGGCACCGATACCCATCTGCCTGCTTGATCCACTCATAGCCGGCAGCGCACACTCCCATCTGTCTAAGTTTCGTCTGCGCCCTCTGCTCCTTCTGCGCCTCCTCTAATTCCTTCTGCCGATGCGCCTCAAGTTTCTTTTCCTTTGCCTGGCGTACAGCAATGGCTGTGACCCTCTTGAGGCGCTGCTCCTCGAGCTGACATTTGATCTCTGCGTCGGCGCTGGCCTCGCGTGCTCGACAGACAAGGTCTGTTTCGAGAGCCTTCTGTGCTTCCTCTGCGCGATATGCGTCTCTGACTGCCTCCTCAAGCGCGTCCAATTCTTCTTTCTGACGATGTGCGGCTTCAAGCGCAGCCCACTTGTCTACCTCGAGCTGTTTCCAGACGACATCGGGGACACCGGGGTCGCGCCCCTGCGACGAGGGAAAGGCCTCTTCATATCGAGTAGCGAGCTTCGGTATCCAGGTGGCGGCGCGCGTTGCGCACGCATTGAGGATCTCGTACGCGTCAGCCTTTGGGGGATCGAGGTGCTGCGCAGGGAGCGCGCTCCTGGGAATGGACGCTGATGGCAGGTTCGTGGCGAGCGCAACCCGCTCGTCGAGCATTCCGGCGATGCAGCAGATGGCATCTAGGCCAGACAGCGGGAGCTTCGTCGCTTTGGTAATGTCTACAGCGCGTTTGAATGCAAGTCGCACCATCTGCTTCCCGAGTGTTTTAACGTCCCGTGCGTTTCCCCACGAATCCAGCGAAGAAAGCTGCGCGATCAGCGACAACATCTGCTTGTACTCAGCCGAGGATGTCGCCCCAATCGCCGCGCATTCGATATCGTCCTTCGCGAGGTCCTTCTTCAATATCTCGAGACAGTGCTCTGGTGACATGTTGTCGAAGTGTATCTCCTCGGGGAATCGACTCGCAAGTCCAGGGTTCGCGGCTAGCAGCGTGTTGATCTCCTTGCCGTATCCGGCGATAATGACGATGAGTTTCCCAACGAAAGCCTCCTGGGTGA